GCGCGTCTCAAAAGTTTGCAGGTTAGAACGAAGATTCAGAGACTGAAATTTCTCTTCCAGTTAATTCACAATCGGTTCAAACTAACCCACAGAGCTTTCTTTAGTCAAGAGTCCGACAGAGTTCCGTCTGGTCGAGGACAAACATAGTGCAAATTAACAAAAACACCGACCAAGGTAAAATAAACAAACATTAAAGAGACGTTTCGGCTCTCTACACGGGAGCTTTGTTCACAGTGAACAAGCTTCCCGTGTGGGAAGCCAAAACGTCCTTTTAATTTTTGTGTATTTAACCTTGGTTAGAAATTTTGTTACTTTGCACTGTAGCTTTCTTTCAGCTTAGCACGCAGAAACATTCAAGACATCGCCACAGTATGTACATCGCGCCCCTTGCTTCTCGTAATGACTTCCGTCGGTTCACTTACTTCCCCCATGCTATCGAAGAATGAAAGATTGTTACGGTTAGATTGAGTTTAACTATGTTTTTTTACAGGAGAGGTCAGGCGACGATCGGCGATGATGGCGAACGTAGGCCGAACCAAGTAACTTCTTCTTCCTCTACCTTTGTCCCCCAATACATGGCCCGGCTCATACCGTATCGTTCCCCGGTTCACAGACGAAGCCCGCTGGGCGAGCCTAATCATTGGCGTAGTGTGGGATGGAACTGCTTGAGACGAGCTACATGCGCCAACTGTGTTTGGCTTGACCAACAACCAGTTAAGGTCAAGCGTGCCACCACGTAGGTCAAGTCACTCAGGCGATTTGCGATAACGAATGGACCAACATAGTGCGCTAAAAATTTCTGGTATAAGCCACGTTTCCACTGAGGGGTCCACAACCACACGAGGTCCCCTTTTTCGAATAAAACGGTGTCGTGGCATTGATCATACCTCTCCTTGGGGCGATCTTGCGATGCTGATGTGCGAATATGGGCAATTTGTCGGGCTTCTTCAGCTCGGCACAGTGTTTCAGCAACTGAATCGTCCGAATGGAGCTCGAATGAAAGTATCGTATCGAAGCAGCTGCGCGATGGTCGAGCGTAGAGTAGGTAGAATGGAGTGAAGTCCGTGGTTTCGTGCTTGGCTGTATTATAGGCATAGGTGATGAATGGCAAAATGTCATCCCAGTTCCTGTAATTTGAGGATACTTACATAGACAGCATATTATTAAGCGTGCGGTTTGTGCGTTCCACAAGGCCATTCGTCGGGGGATGATATGGTGCTGAATGGCGAAACTGCGAAGTGCAGAGACGAAGCAATTCCTCTACAGTGTCGGCGACGAACTGGCGACCACTATCACTGATGATGACACGAGGTGGACCATGGCGAAGAACGATGGACCGTAACAGGAAAGAAGTGACGGAATCCACTGTGGAAGATGGTATCACAGCAGTTTCTGCCTATCTGGTAAGGTGATCGACGCAGACTATGATCCAGCGGTTGTTGTTGCAAGACCGCGGAAATGATCTTAGCAGGTTGATACCAACTTGTTCGAAAGGTGTTGTGGGTGGCGTCATAAGGTGAAGGAGGCCATGCGGACTGCTTGTAGGACGTTTGTGGCGCTGGCGTTTGTCGCAACTGGACCCGTATTGCTTCGTAAATTGTCGCATTTTGGACCAGTAGAAGTGCCCTTGAGTTCGATTCAAAATGCGGACGAATCCCAGATGGCCAGACGTTGGGTCTTCATGCATGAAATGAAGGACATTGTACCGCAGGTTTTGGGAAACCACTAGAAAACACCGCGCACCATTTGCCGAGAAATTCACCTTGTACAACAGTTCATGGCGAAGACAAAAGCGACCACTGCCCTTGGGGCTTCTGACAGTGGCGAATATAGAGTCTAAAGTCAAGTCATTGCGCGGTTCCCACTGGAACGTGGTGACATCAGGAAATTCGCGTGCAACAGTTGCAAAGCAGATGTCGAACGTGTCTGTATTGTCGTCAGTCGTAGACAATGGAAGGCGAGAAAGACAATCGACGTCGGTATGATACCGTCCACTTTTGTATGCAACATTAAAGTCAAATTCCCGGAGGCGTAGAGCCCAGCGTGCAAGGCGTCCAGAAGGGTCTCAGAGTGTAACGAGCCAGCATAGGGAATGATGGTCTGTTACAATCGTGAAAGGACGTCCATACAGGTAACAACGAAACTTCTGAATAGCAAATACAGCTGACAAGTATTCTTGTTCGGTCACAATGTAATTTTTATCAGCCTTGCTGAGGGAACGACTTGTATAGGCAACGACATGATCTCTGTAATTATGATGCTGAACAAGAACGCCTCCGATGTCCATACCGCTTGCGTCGCTGTGTACTTCCGTAGGAGCAGATGAGTCAAAATGACGGAGAATCGGATCTGATGTCAGCAGAAATTTGATTTGACAAAATGCAGCGTCACATTCAGATGTCCACTCGAATGCACTGTCTTTTCGCAAGAGGCTGGTCAATGGGTACACGATGTCCACAAATTTAGGCACAAAGCGCCGAAAATAAAAACATAACCCGAGAAAGCTGTGAACTTCTTTCACAGACGTAGTTGGCTTAAAGGCGCTGACTGCTTCAAAAGTTGCGAGGGCATTGCATAGCCCAAATGGCATCACATTGAACTGATATAGTCCATCCGGCGTTACAAATGCCGTTTTCTTTTTGTCAATAGGGTGTATGGGGATCTGCCAAAATCCTGATCGTAGATCGAGTGAAGAAAAGTATGAAGCAGAATTTAGGCAGTCAATTACGTCATCGATCCAAGGCAGCGGTATACATCCTCTTTAGTCAAGGCATTCAATTGTCTATAATCAACGCAAAACCTCCAGGAACCGTCTTTCTTGCGAACCAAAATCACCGGTGCTGCCCACGGGCGGCACGACTCTTCAATAACGCCCTTCTGCAACATGTCTTGAACTTGTTCAGCTATAACTTTCCGCTCGAATGACGCCACCCTGTAAGGCTTTTGCCGAACCGGATGAGCGAAACCTGTGTCAATGGCGTGCTGTGGTCGAGAGCATGGTAAAGACAGTCGCTTACCAATATGTTACCTGAATCCACTATCAGGTGTTCATCTCTGACGTCATTTGAAAAAAAATTTAAAACTGCTTTTCCATTCATAACTTCGTGGCTACATATAGCGTTTATTTTGCTTTAATGCTTTGAACTGTCTCATTGTGCTGTCTACGCTTTTTCTTAGTTTTTGAACACGATGGCTTTTTCCTGCTCTTTATTTGTACTCTTTGTTGTGCCTTTGCCATTTATTTGCATTTTGTATATTTTTCCTGCTGTTTGCATTCAACCTTGCAAAGTCACCTCACGATTTGGTAGCTGATTTTGCCATATACATACTTGTACTTTCTACCCTGTAACGGTCTTTTTGAGGGCTAACAGTAGTAATAAATGAATTAATAAAATGAACTCTCAAGACAGAATCAACTTAATGGCCATCATTGCCCACCTTATGCAGAAAAAAGGCAATTTTTGTTGAGGAATTCAATCTCAATAGAGCACAATCACAATCAGCAGTGAATCATGTGACACCGGTATTACATCCACTGTCTTTTTTTTTTTGTTCCAGCCACTCACTGGCCATGTTTACTAAGAGCAAACAATACACGCTATGCTCTAAAACTGCGATCACAGTCATCGGTAATCTGCTCGTTCATGAAATGCGTCAGCTGTTATGCGGGCCTTATCGAATATTCTTACATTATCAGTGGTTGTTGCGTTTTCTGTAAAGTACATTCAGTTGCCTTTGTTCCACGCGTAATCCTAATTGAGAAGTGAGAAACAATCGAGAGGTTTCCAAGCAATCCGGCGCGGCCTGCGATGAGCGGTGGTTTCTTTTATGGCTGAAGCCAATAACGTGAAAAGTCTAGGCCTCTCAGGGCACTATTGCATAACTACTGATAGCAATGTGGCGTTAATTATCCCTTCCTTGTGAAACAGCAACAGGCTAGTTGATGCCTTTTTTTTTCTTGAATGGTTCCGTGCTGATATCACTGCGCGACGAACTGTATGAATGCTCACGGAAGAATGCCTGACAGCTTCCAGAGTATAAGTATAATTTGCAAAGAGCCTTTTCAAGGGGCATATAGTATTCGAAGTCCTCAAATGAGGCGTACGTATGCTAACTACACTTCCCTTAGCGAAGTGTACAGTGTGTAAAGTACAAGGATGCACTAAAGCGCACGACGCTCTGTCACTGAGCGGTGTTTCTCGGTGAAAATACAGCTGATATTTTTCATTTTTTTCATTTTATTTCATTTTATTTCAAGTTCTCTTATTACATGAAAATACACAACACTGGTTAGAGCCACAGCCACTGCCTAGTAGGGGGTCTAAATAAATATGCATTTAAAGGAACAGAATGTGTTAACAAAGCTTGTTATGTAATAAGTACACTTCAATCATACAAGAAAAAAAGAAAAAAAATCGAAACAAAATATAAGAAGGAAACATATTTGTGATAAGTCATTTGCAGTATCTTGCAGCATTGTTCCATGCAAACAACGGATTGTATGTATACAATACATCAAATACATAAAAGTACGTATACCATGTCAAGTATGATTTTGTTAGACAAATAATCTATATATAACGAAGTGGAGATTAAAACGAAGTGTGTGTTAGTGTACCTGTTCATTTTTCTGCAGAAAGTATTTTTTAAGAGCACAGGCAAAACTTTTGCTTTCTTTTATTTGGCATGGTATATCATTCGAGACCTTTACTCCAGCAAATTGTAGCAATCGTTTGCCATAAACATATCGCGCGGGACAGCCTATTACGCAGACATGATGGCCGTAGTGTGAGCTTCGTGTGAAGTTTTGATTTTGATACCCCGACGCACGAGGAAGGCCTATTGAGAGCAGCAACATCGTAAATTATTCTATCACAGAAACATCTAATTTCTGAATAAAATACTTTGCAAATAGTTATGAAAAGCGCAGAAAATCTCTTGACATATCCATATACATGCACTCGTAGGCGAGCAACAACTTATGAAAAGTCAATGCTCACGTTTATGTAGTTTGCGTTTATGTAGTCAGACGAAGGATCGCTTTTGAGGGGATGCAGGATCACACGTGTGTCGTCATCTGCAAGATGGTAAGAGAACAAAAAAAAACACGCCCATGATGCTCAACCAACGGTAGTCAAAAGAAGCTATAGCACTAGAAATATTTGAAAGGGGTGCTGCAACACGTTTCCAAGTAAGCAAAGAACGGCGCCATGAAAGGAGTTCCTTACTTCAGAAATACACCAGCACACACACACACACACACACACACACACACACACACACGCACGCATACGCACACACACACACACACACACACACACACACACACACACACACACACACACACACACACACACACACACACACAATTGGCAGATCTCACGTACAGCGGGAATCGATATGTGAAGCACGAATGAGGAAGGTTGGTGTGTCACTTTGAAATCAGCACAACGTTACGCAGCGGAGGTAAGTTTTGCCGTACATGACTTTCATGGCATGATTAACATGTTTGGACGAGTCATTTACCTTCGTCGTCCTTCACGTCATGTAATATAAAATTTAGTATATGTGAAGCCAGTTAAATGGCCAAGAGCGCATCATAAAAATGACATGTAGCCATATTGTAACGCGATACGCATGTCATGATTACCATGTTTGGATGAGTCATTTACCTTCTTCGAGCATTCACGTCCAATAATATTGTCTCGCAGTAATATGGGCCATCAGCAAGTTTCGCCCATACCTCTACGGCAGACCGTTTCGAGCAATCAGTGATCATCATTCAATGTGTTGGCTGGCAAACATCAAGGACCCTTCAGGAAGACTTGCTAGATGGAGCCTGCGTCTGCAGGAACATGACATCACTGTAGTCTACAAGTCCGGTCTCAAGCACAATGACGCGGATTGCCTGTCTCGCGCACCAGTTGAGTCTCCATCATCTGACAAAGAACAAGACATCCTATTTCTTGGAGTTCTGAGTGTGTCGGAGATGGCTCGTCTTCAGCGAATGGACCCGGAACTACGCCCGCTTATCCAATACTTGGAGGGTCACCAAATTAAGGTACCACGAGTGTTCGTCCGTGGTTTGACATCCTATGTCCTCCGGAACGACGTCCTATACAAGCGCAACTTCGTAAACACCGGTGAGACGTTTCTGCTTCTTGCACCATCACCACGGCGAGCGGAAATCTTAGAAGCGTGTCATGACGACCCATCGGCTGGCCATATGGGTAGTAGTCGCACTTTGGCCAGAATTCGCCGGAAGTATTATTGGCCGAAATTAAAGGATTCGGTGCACCATTATGTGAAGTCATGCCGGGATTGCCAGAGGCGCAAAATACCACCATCGAAACCAGCGGGTCTGTTGCAACCAATAGAGCCGCCAAAAGGGCCATTTCAGCAAGTGGGAATGAATTTGCTTGGTCCATTGCCTCTCTCTTCATCGAAAAAGCGCTGGATTGTTGTAGCAACAGACTACGTGACTCGATATGCTGAGACATCACCTCTCGCGAAAGGAACGGCGAACGAAGTAGCCCAGTTTTTCGTCACTCAGATTGTACTACGACATGGCGCACCGCAGGTTGTCATTACAGACAAAGGAACAGCATTTACTGCCCGTTTGATGCAGTCTGTTATGAAGCTCACCCACACTGACCATAGAAGGACTACAGCATACCATCCGCAAACAAACGGATTAACCGAAAGGCTCAATAGAACTCTCGCCGGCATGATCTCGATGTATGTGGACGTTGAGCCCCAGACATGGGACAGTATTTTGCCTTATGCTACATTTGCGTACAATACCGCAGTACAAGAAACGACAAGATCAAACTGCGTCAGTTTAGAGTTAAAAGGCGTGGGTATTGTGAAGTGAAGAATTTTTATTCCGTGGTTTAAACAGAGTGTTGGTGCTAGCTAATCTTCTAATTAAGGACGCCCCTTCTCTTCGGCCCTTAATTTTTCTTCCTCGATAGTATGCGTATTTTTTGTACCTCAGTAATTCACTTAGTGTCTGGCATCACGATTCGGAGTTTTTCTTTGTAGGTAAGCGAGATTACGTAGGTCGTTATAATTTCGATATTTCTTTTTTGTAGATATGGTTGAAACAAAATTCACAGATATTATGTGCGGTCATCACGTCAGAATCCTTTACTTTTTTGTCGATGCTGTACGGGAAGCATTTTATCTATGGGAAAGATATTTCTTTTGTAACAGAAAAATACATTCATGATTGCTGTGTGTTTTGTTACCAAAAACAATTTGACAATAATTTAAACGCGATTGAAAAAGGGAAGTGTACAGTAAAAGGTTAATACATGTCGGAAGATTGTATCGTAAATATTCTGGTAATTTAACCCGATTAGAGCATTTCTACCTCTTTCTCTGCTAGTGCTGCGTTTTTTCTTGTGCAGCTAGAACCATTTTGTCGGATATTGTGCGTGACAATCTAAAAAAACAGTACAAAGCAGTTCTAAAGTGAAAAAAAAAAACGATATGGATTTTTTTGCTGACACGACCATCAACAAGCAGCCGCTGTCAGCATGCGCCAAGGTGGTTTGAATCAGCAAAGAACCTACTGTATTTACTCACAAGGCAGAAGGTCGGCGTATCGGTTCTTGTGCTTATTTTCCGGCTTCTGGGCAACAGTCCAAGGCTTCTGCTGGCCTGTCTTGAGGGTCTGCACAGTGAAGGCGTACAAAAGGTAAGCCCACCACGATGACAGAAATAGCGCAAAATAGTATGTATAGTTTTACGTCCCAAGGCCACTGCACGAATATGAGGGATGGCGTAATAGAGGGCTCAAGAAATTTTGACTATCTGGTGTTTTTCAACGCGCATTGACATCGCACAATGCACGAGCTTCTACCATTCCGCCTTTATTGAAATGCGCCCACCGCGACCGGGATCGAACGCGGGACCTTCGGATCAGCAAAGCACACTAGCCACTCATCCACCAAGGCAGACGAACAACTGCACTAATATTGTAAAACAGAACATCGAAATCGGAAGAAAAATACTTAAGTTCCTTTCGACTTAACCTTTCACAGTCTATGTAAACAAGTCTGTACACCACTAGGTCTTGCTTTTTTTATAAACTAGGGGATAAGAAAGAGCAAGGTATATCGACCTTTGGATGAATTGGAGATTCTGCTTTATATTAAAAGTATGATTGATCCCTTTGTAATACATATTAGTATAACGCGGTAGTCAAGCGTATCTTCACAGAGCTAGTTCAGCGTTTATTGAGCAATATTCACTTTAAGGCAAAATTACCAAAAAAAGGAGTAATGGGGCCCAATAAGCGCGCGCGATGAATGGACAGACCAATGAGGAGGAACCTCAGAGGGAAGCGTGCCGCGTGCAAACCACTTAGTCGCCAAACACGCTCCAAAGAGATGAACCTCCCGGGGAATGCAGGCAGCGCGAAAAGCGTTGAGAAGGTTACTAGCCGTCCTCCTTCTCTCCTGGCTCGGCCTTTTCCCGTATTTTGCTGGCGATGGTTCGCGTTGCGTCGCGCCCGGAGTGATCGACTACGGCCGCCTAGATTCAACGATCTAGTAATTACGACGTGGTGCTTGTGTGTACGCTTGGATCAGCGTGGGCTGCAGCTTTTACGTTTCGCTGCACCCATAAAGTCTGGAGCAAATCTCGACACGTCACCACGCCACGCTGTATATCTCTAGCTTTAAGATAAGTCACGACCAACACACCACAGCAACAGTTGAAAAGGTCAACATGGTGGCCTAGAAGACAGCAGGCCTATCGGATATATACTTCTGTCCGACTCAGGGCAGAAATCAGCGCTAGATTCTTTTGCATGTAGGTTATCATTCCTTATTCTACTCTACATGTCACGTGTGCGATACAGATTGCGCTTGCCAGCAATGGGCTCGGCCATGTTTTATATCGCACGCTCGAAATGCACCGCGTAGGTCAGCTTGGGTGTCTGCAGTTCACCTGTGCTTTGCGACCACCCGGAAATTGGCCGCTGCCTCCCGTACGTCCGCTCAACGAGTGCTCCCCTGTCTTCGCCGCCGCGATGAGCTCTTGGCTGACGATATTGGGCTGAGACCTCGTCACTGTGTTGGGAGTCGTCGAAATGACGTTGCGGGTTCTCGCAAAGAGCTTGGTTGCTGTATGTCGCGCGTTGTCAGTGCACCAGCACGGGCTGGCGGGGCTTTCAATAGCGCCGGAACTCACTAAAAATTGGTCGCCATTACAGTTGGCTTTCCCGTCAGTTGGTCGCAAGCAGCTCGGCGCAATCTGTTGGCCGCGGCGGCGGACTCGCGTTTGCGAGCTGCAATTACTCGAGTTTGTGGAAAAGGACCGCATTCCGTCGATTTCTTCGGCGCTAGCTCCAAACCAGCTCGGCACGGTTCGTGGCGGCAGCCAAGCGTACGCTCGCTCTTCTGTTCGAAGTTCGCTGGCGGCAGACACTCCGCGTGCAGCGCCATGCTTGGTCTCGCGTTCACTTTCTGGAGCTGAACGACGTCGCTCGCTTAGGACTCGCCGACTTGTTAGCGGCACGGTAGTTGGCCGAGTTGTGACTGCGGCCTCCACTCCTAAGCTGTTGCGCTACGGGGATCGAAATGAGTCTTTACCGATGTGTGATATCACGGTGAAATTATTAGCTTGTCATATCTCACGTATGTTTTTATTTCACCTTGCACGCATTCCTCATATGCATTCGTATTCGTCCTCTGTCACGTGTGGCTCACTATTTTAAATACTTATTGTGCAGCCGTGTGCACACACCGTGCTGAAGGCTGTGCGCCCTGGCGTGTGCGTTGCCTGTCATTCATCTTTTTTTCACAGCAGCTCAGAAGGACTGTGCGAGATGTGAAGGTAAAGTTATTTGTGTGTCGTATTTTAATTGTCTGTTTTATATTAACTTGCACGTACTTGTCATATGGCACGTTAAAGAACCCCAGGTGGTCTAAATTTCCGGAGCCCTCCACTACGGCGTCTCTCATAATCATATAGTGATTTTGGGACGTTAAACCCCACATATCTACCTATCTACTTGTCATATGCGTGCATATTTATCTTCTGTCACGTGTTTCTAACTATTTTTAGTATATTATTGTACGTGCAGCTGTGGCAACACAACAGGAAGAAGGCTGTGTGCACTGGCATCTGCAATGCCTGTCATTTATCGCTTCCATCGAAGGAGCTCCCCAAGGAGTGAAGAAGATTTGACAACGAGGCTGGACTTGTGAAATGCACCATGAATTCACCCAAAATACTGGAGAAAGTTTATGTGTATGTAGAAAAACAAACGATTTCGATGTGTCACTTTTGTCTTTCGTTGTTGCCGTGACTGCGTAAGCCGTTACACATAGGTGGCTACCTACTTTTTGGCGTGTTTTTTTCTGCGCTATTTGTTGCTTACTGCGCAGAAAAACAGGCAAAAAAGTGATAGGCCTGGCGGAAAATAAACAAAAAAAAAACATGTTTCAACTGGAGATAAGGCGGAAAATAAACAAAAAAACCATGTTTTAACTGGAGATAAAAAGTTCGTCCAATTGGAGTATTTGAGTGGATCAACCGTTCGTCCGGCGAGGTGCCATTGTGAGGACTAACGGTTGCTCGGAAAGGTGCAAATGTGGGGATTAACAGTTGTCCTATACGGTTCAAATGTGAAGACTAAATGTTAGTCCTTTGAGGTGAATTGTGGGGCTAACGGTTACTCACTAAAGTATGAATGTCAGGACTAAATGTCAGTCCCTTGAGCTCGTCTGTGGAGATTAACTGTTAGACCCAGTGCAACCATTAGTCCTTAAAGAGACTGATGGTAGTGGCAGCAACATTAGTCCCCAAAAGGACAAACCACACCCTTTGACACCCCTTTGCCTCAGAGTGTTTAAACACAAGGAGGAAAAAACAATTGCTACGACAACAAACTCTAATGTCACGAGAACGGCAAAGCGCTCGAAACTTGCAGCATATCTTAAAGAGAAAGGCCGCACGAAAACAACATAACACTGCACGAGCACGAACTAACAACTGTCACAGCTTGACATTGACGTCTACTTCACTCTGAGGAATCCACTTTCTACACAGAGCGGGATTCTTATCTCACCAAAACATAGCTTCGTTCGCACTGGACGTGCCCTGCACCACCGAATATACGACCTGGCACGGGGTGAACGCAGGATATATGCGGTGCCCCCAGGTTGTTGTCGCAGCTCGAAAACTTCACTGCGCTATCCGGTCTGGCACCGCAAACTCTCAAGTTCAACTGATCACCTGTGGGGGGCGAAAAAATCAACCATGTCGAATTTTCGTTTCAAACACCTTGATTGGATTTACTAACCTCTCTTGCTACTCGTGCTATTGCACTTTTTTGTAAAGGCGCCCTCGTCGGGGCCAAGTTTCAATTATAAAATTATCAAATACTACATCTTTGACTTTCGTAACACATAAAGAACAACTTCTGCTTATACCAAGTAGTTTTTCCTAAACAAGTGCTGCGCCGTCAATTTTTTTTGTATTAGTTTTTGTTCCAGTTGACCCGAGGTCAGCAGCAGCCTATGGACATCAGTATCCTTTTTTCAAAATATACGGTGGCCAATTGTTTCGACAGCAGATAACGGCTCGCGGTACGTTCTGATGTGTCTCGGACTGTTTTGTTTCGCTGTAAATATTTCAAGTCTCTGCCGACGGAAACACTCTTTCTCGTTCTGTTTATCCTGACTCGTTCAAATGCTTTCGCGAAGGGAAATCAAGTGACGTCCGAGGAACGAAGCGACCGCTTAAGCTTTCATCGGATGAACTCCCATTGCAAGCCCGGGCCGGTTGCACTTCAGTTCTTTAAGGACGGTTGCTTGTTGGGCTAGTTGATTCAGTTCAACACATGTAGTTTTTTTTTGCCAATGACTGCGTAGGCGTCAGACGGTGGCAGCAAATTGCAATATTAAATTTAAAAATTTTTTAACGTCTTAACCTGTCACCGGAAAAACGTGCGTTTCTTGCGGGGTGGCTTCACGTGGGAACGAGTGACTGACTCGTTAATTCTGAAATTCCATTGCCAAGTACCACCAACCAGACGTTGCGATTAAAGAAGGCAAATAAATCACTGTCGCCTTGCATGTGTCGTCGCAGCTAACCCATATATTAGCGAAAAAAACTTACGATTTGATAGTTTACCACAGTCGCGTTTGGGAAACATCACATAATTATGTGTGTGGTTTTGCTATAGTGTGACAAAGAAGGTGTCACATAAATTAGAAATACTTCTCTTTCTGTCACAGCCTTCTGGCCCACCTGACATGAAAGCAGCTGTGTACAATGGGCAAGGAACCTGCTACCTGACATGCTTTGTGAAGAAGCAGCCCTGAGTTACACGTGTTGTGAGGTACCAATATATATTTGTAAAACGTACTGTTGTTTACTAGTCAACTGAGCTCATTTGTTTACTTTGAAAATTTTATGCATTGATATCTGGTGATGTTACTTGTTTTTCCAGACTGCCATGTAACGGCAGGATGACTACTTCCAAATGTCCACTCTGCAAGCACGTTGAAACATGTGAATGTCCACTACAACAGGTCATCTCGAACCTCACATATGCAATGCTGTATTTGTGAATGTTTTACCGCACATATCGTGGAGGGGTGCTTTAGATTGGTCACAAACATTGGCTGCCTACCACGGCATGGAATCCACACTTCAATA